CCCTTGGCTGCGCAGTGGTTAAGGGCAGAGCCGCGTGGCAGGGGGAGGGATGCTCATGGCAGACGAGCCTCCCTGCTTTAGCCCCTGAGCCCCTCTCAGCCTGGGGCCACGACACACAACGGGCGACAACACTACGAAAGGGTCGTGGGCAAACTTTAAAAATGGGCTCTTGTTGAAGGAGAAGGACGCAGAGAACCTGCGCTTTCCCTTGCCGGCTAGCAGAGACCCAGCCTGCAAGGGGCTGCTCACACTGGGGCCAAGGGACAGTGGGTTGGGAGTGAGGGGCACTGGGCTGGGACTGGCCATCGATGTTTACAAATGCATCCTGGTGCCAAAAAAGGTTAAGACCCGCTGCCCTAGACTTCCTGCAGCCACCAGTGGGTGACCTGGGTCTCTGTGGGGCACCTCCCGCGGGGCTCAGCCACTGCTGGGGCTAGCCCTGGCCGGCTTTTTTGGAGCGTCCGCTCCCCCCCACCCCCGGCTGCAAGACCATTCCCACACTTTCCTGAAGCCGCCTCTCGCATCAGGGAGAGGACTCTGCTTTCCTCATGCTGAGCTGCCATGCTCCTAAACTGAGATGTATACAGCTTGGTGCATGTGAAGTTATGAAATACAGCCGCTTCTCTGAGGAACTTACTCATCTTACACAGCTTTGTTTGGGTGCTGCTGGGTGTGAGCAATGAGGACAAAGGTTCTTGTGATAAGCTCATGGGGTTGCTTTGGTTTGTTTAGCTATAACAGCTTCTTGCTGGCTTTGCACATTTTCTGCAAGGGTCTAAGTTCCTTCTAGGAGTTATTTGACCAAAATTGGAGCAAAAGAGACGAATGCAAGATGATGCAAGGTCAGGAGGAAGATGCATTGGAGAAAAATGGTTTTGAGGAGAGACAGATGTCATCAGGAGGGTCATCAGGTGGGACCACTGGCACCAGTGTTTAACCAGTTGGTGACAGACTTGAGAACCGTATGGAGGGTGGGTGGTGACAGTTTGTAAGGAAAAGACTATGGTATAATAAAGGTTTCCTTGAAGCCCTGGTGCTCTAGTTGTAGAGAGGGGTAGGGGGACTTTTGTAGCATCCTGTGATGCTTTCTCTAGGTCTCATGCCTTTAGAGAGCTGGTCCCTGATAGGAAGCATGAACCTTGCAAAGACTTGAGATGCAAAAGATCAAATGGTTACAAGACTGCATTAGTGATCGAAACGTGCCCTGGTGGCTGGCATTGGCGGAGTCCCGAATGGGAGAGAGCCTTTTGCATGCCATTACAAGAAATTTGCCATGAACAGCAGTGCTGGAACTGTCACCTGCTTTTAGCATGATGGTGGGGAGGTGAAGAGGAGAGCTGGCAAACCTCGCCTATCCCTCTGGTGCCACGGCTTTTTTTGACTGTGATTTGATGATACCCTTTTATCATAATGGGCAGCCATCCCATTGCATCCTTTCCAGCCCCAGAGATGTGATCAGAGGTAGGGAAGTGGATTGTTTTATATTTATTTTTCTTGGGTGGGGAGAAGCTTGTTTTGTTGTATCTTTGCATTTGAATATTTTATTCTGTTCTTATAATGTCTGTCTTTTTTGTTGTTAGCTGCCTTGAGTCTCTTTTTGGGAAGGGCAGTATATAAATCAAATAAAATAAGTGGAGAAGTTTCTGAAGCGAAGCAAGAATCAAGTGTGGTTTACTCTCTAAATAAAACTTGTTTCCAGCCAGGCATCTAAATACGGGACTCTTTACATATGGAGCTTAAACAGTATTGCCAACCCCAACCATTCAAAAACCATGGGTCAGTCTAGTCTCCCCAGGAGAATTTAAAAAGCAAATTAATTTGGAGGCTTTAGTTGCTGTGCTCGTCAGTCTTCCGGATTCATGTTATCAAGTATTTATCTGCAGCTATGAATTTTAGAAGCTCCCTCCCACCCATGAGAAGTTGCAGGTGTCTCCTAAATCTAGGGAAAATGGCCTTGAGACACCACCAAATAAAGACTAAATGGCCAAATGAGAATTGGCAAATTCACTTTGAGGGATAAGTTAGTGGCCAGATCTCCCATTTCAGTTCAGAATGGACAAGTTCTGGGTACCAGTTATAATACAAAAGCTAATGCACTTGATCAGTAACAGTTCATATTCCCAATCCACAAGTGCCAAGTTTCTTCAGCTCAACTCAACACTCCAAGAAGTCCAGGAAGGCAAAGGTTTTACAGTGTTCTTCAGGGAGCATCAACTTTCTGAGTAAAGATATAGTCAATACGAGTATTCACTGAAATTTGTATTCTACCAACCTTAGTCAGGTGTCTAGGGAGTCTCAGCTGGTCTCAAGCACATTAGGAGTCTCAGCTGGTCTCAGGCAGCATATTCTCAACCCGTAAAAGCTAGACACTAACACTTTAAAACTGCAACAGAACTAGATCAGAGCTGTTGCATCCTTTGGGGCACAAGCATAATATGCTGTACTTCCTAATAAGAGCACTACTTAGCTAAAGTTTAAAGTTGCTCTTCAGATGAAAGCTTGGAGAGGATGGACATGTTGCATTAACAAAGGCTTTCTGTTATGCTAAGGTTAGGAATGCAAATACAGGAAATGCAAAAATTGAGGTTTCACTGCAGCGTTACCTCCCATGGTGCAAGTTTACTATCTCTTACAGCTCCTATTTTACCATGTAAGCCCTGCATACGTCGTGGGCAAGTGAAGTGTCAGACAAATGGCCCATCAGGCAAAACGATATAAGGCCGACTCTTCTCATTTATGTTTATCCCAGACCCAGTACAAAAGCTTCTCTTTTCAGCTCCAAGTTGAACAAAGATTCGTGTAGCCCCTTGTCTTGCACTTAAAAGCCAGTCCTGATTTTCCTTTTCTCAGAGTTAAAGCAAACAAACTCACAAATTGTCTTCAGGCTTCTCAGGGAGTAGCTGACTCCTCACTATGGTTGTATAACCCCACTGCCAGCAGCCTATATTTATGTACAAGTAGGTTCTCTTCCTTCACTTCATATATGTGCAAAGCTAATTTCCTAGGAGGCTGAGTTCCAGCTGCTTCCAAACCCTGCACATTATCCTTTCTTGAGCATAGTCCTGCCCTGGAAATCTAGGGCTTCCTGACCCAGATAATTGGTGTGTAGCATGCCCTCAGCCTGTGCTCTCCTGGGTATATTTGATAGAAAATGTCTGCAAGGCTTTAAAAGAGAAAAAAATGGTCTTTGATTTTATTTTAGAAATCTGGCAGTTGGAAAACTGGTAGGACTATGAGACTGTAAACCTCCATCTTGCAAAGTTTCAAGAATATCAATGGGGTCACCGGAACGATGGGACCACTAAAACAAGTTAATACACGTACATGCATACCTTTTTGCTGTATCATGCTAGTGATACCAAATAGTGAAAACTTTAAGAGGGCAAGTAACTTATGTTCAAATTGCTTTTTTTCCTACTAGTTTCAATGTAATACTCTGCAAGCAGTTTGAAAAGTTCCATGTGTTAAAAATGCAATGTTTTTGTCCCTTCAGTTAAGGGGAGAATGTTCTTAATGAGTCCTCCAAATCTGCCAGCAAAATTAGGGAAGACAACTTGATATTTCTGATGCTGCTAAGGGAAAATCCACCGGGGGAAAAAACCATAAACACACTTTTTGGCCTTCCTACTACATCTGAAGAAACAAAAAAGAATACCAACCTATCTTCCTCTACTTTGTATGTCACTATTACCATTACAGGTAAGGGCTCAAGTTTTGTGTTTCCTTGTTTATGTTTTAAATTCTGACCTGAGCATTGCATTAACTTAGACCTTCACACGACATTTTTTTTAAGCTGGGAGGCAAGATGAGGAACCTTAAGATGTGGCATGGTGATGTTGTGCAATCATTTTGCACAACTTTTACGTTTTAATCTTAACCACATTGGAGATGCTCAAAATTCCTACCTGTGGCATTGCACAATTCTGTCTTATTTTGCACAACTCCTGTGTGTCAAGCTACTGTGCAGCTTCAAGTTTAGTAACATATTTTGCTCTGCACACACAGAACCTGTTTTTGCTCATAAGCATGCACTGTCCTGCAACTGCATCAGTTCAGACCACCACTAAAGTCTAAGGTCCCAGTCCTGCAAAGATGCACATGATTAACGTTGCCTCTGTTTTGTCCCTTTTGACTTTGTTTCTCAGAATAGACATAAAATTGGAGCCAGGATCTTTCTAGATTCTGTAACAATATTCTGATGCCTGCAATATTCTCTCCGATCAGCTCTTCAGATGCTGTCCACATTTATGCCACAAGTGGTCTTTGAGCACTATTTGTTTTTTCTTGGTATGCACCTAAAACTTTGCCCATATATGGTCAAGGCTCATTTTTAGACTTTGCCAAAATGGTACAGGACAATCATAAAAAATGATGGAAAGGAAATTAATTATACCTTTTTTGTTAATTGCCACTCACAAATAATGTTACACTCTATGCATGATGAAAATGTTAGCTACAGTAACTTACGTTTGTATAGAAGGAGTCTGGCCCAGCATACGGCATACAAGACTTGGAGCTGAGAATGGGATTCTATTCTTGCCTCTCTTACTGACTTGCTATGTGACCTTTGGGCAAGTTTTAGAAGTGCCTGTTAGCACTGAGTGCCTCAGTTTTAAATGACCTGCTTCTGATACCTTGGGTCACTGAGTTGAAATGGAGTTCCTGGAAGCGGGGTGACTAAAGTTATTGGACATATTTATGCCTTTGTAAAACTCGGAGAATTGTGTTGTCTCTCTTTTTTAAGGTACTTTGCTACTGGCAGATGATGTTCCAAGCAACCAATTACATATTTTAATATATGAATCATTTTAATACTCTCTTTATAATGGAATATCACTCTTGACTGGACCCATCCCACAGGCCTGTTGGGTAAAACATTTTGAGTTCTAAGCAGTAGGGAACTGTGTTTGTGCGTCCATAAAAGACCCACATTAGTTTTCTGTGGAGAGATTCCCAGCATGAAAAACCTGGAAAATCATTTTGAAACCTATTAAATGAAGGTGCACAGTACCTCAGTGAAAATGGGAGGTTTTGACACTCCAGAGCTGAAAGCTGCTCTAAATGGAAGCTATTTTTAACACTATTAAGAGTCCTGTTTTTCTTTCCAGTAGGACTGTACACCTGCAACTGGGATAAACATGGAGAAAAATGGGAACATTCAGCTGGAGATTCCGGACTTCAGCAACTCTGTCCTGAGCCACCTGAACCAGTTGCGTATGCAAGGCCGCTTGTGTGACATAGTAGTCAACGTACAGGGACAGGCTTTCCGTGCTCACAAAGTGGTGCTGGCTGCCAGTTCACCTTACTTCCGTGACCATATGTCCTTGAACGAGATGAGCACAGTCTCCATTTCGGTCATCAAGAATCCCTCTGTTTTTGAACAGCTCCTTTCCTTCTGTTATACCGGGCGGATATGCTTGCAGCTGGCTGACATCATAAGTTACCTGACAGCAGCCAGCTTTCTGCAGATGCAGCACATTATAGACAAATGCACACAGATCCTTGAGGGAATTCACTTCAAAATTAATGTGGCAGAAGTTGAAGCAGAACTGAGCCAAACTAGGACAAAGCATCAGGAGAGGCCCCCTGAGTCTCACCGGGTTACCCCAAATCTAACCCGCTCACTGAGTCCACGCCACAACACTCCAAAAGGGAGTCGTCTGGGCCAGGTCAGCACAGTACTTGACATTCGGGAGCTGAGCCCTCCTGAGGAGTCCACCAGCCCTCAGATAATAGAGCAAAGCTCAGACGTGGAGAGTAGGGAGCCCATACTGCGAATTAACAGAGCAGGGCAGTGGTACGTGGAGACTGGAGTGGCAGACCGCGGAGGACGGAATGATGATGATGTTAGGGTGCTTAGTGGAGTACGTATCAAAACGGAGAACCTGGAAGAGTGGCTGGGGACAGAAAACCAGCCCTCTGGAGAAGACGGGAGCAGTGCTGAAGAGGTCACTGCCATGGTGATTGACACAACGGGCCATGGATCATTGGGCCAAGAGACCTATACATTAGGATCTTCAGGGGCCAAAGTGGTCAGGCCAACCAGCAGTGAGATTGACAGGTGGGTTTCCTTTAACACATTTACTGGGAAGGGCTGGAAGGGTAAACTGCAGTTTGTTTGTACAATTTGTTCGCCTGTCTTTCTGACCACCTCATGCTGTTCTCAGGAATTTTTGTAGTCTTGCAAAGAATATACCTCAGGACCAAGAATGTAGTTGCTATATGGTGACCCAGAACTGTATCTCCAGTTACAAACTAGGTGGGTAATGGCTAGATTCTCCATCACTTGCACAGAAATTGGGTCTCTCAGAGATCTTAGTATTGGAATTACTCAGTGAAATTCAATGACCTGTTGCCTCTTCTGGCTTTAACACCTTTGAATCTGTGAACCCTGCTGTTTCAGAAACAAACCAATCAACAGCTCTGAGTCAGAAAGTCTGGCTCCCAGTGGTACAGGACTACAGGATTTGATGTGCCTTGCAGGCTTTAAGTCCCTACCTGAAGCAATTTAAATTTGAGGAAGGGGAGTGGGAGAGAATATTTTGGATCAGGTTACTCATAGGTGGTTCCTTACGCAGCAATGTCTATGGTAAGAGCAGAAAGCCTTTATTTATAATAGGTGGTTAAATCTGTTGTGTGATGCCTCCATCCTTGCATCCCCTCCATCCTTGGATCTGATTAAAGCAAAAGGGTCTGTTGTGCTTTCCCTTTCCTTCATTCTCTCTTCTCCTTCCCCCACACCCTTCTGCTTCTGTTGATCAGCAGCTTCCTGGAAATAGTAGATATCCTGATATTTTCATTTAAAACTTAAAAAATCTCTATAAACTATAAGACATAATCCCTTACTGGCCTCCAGGGAGGGGAAAAAAACACTTATCTGACAGGTTTTCTTCCTTTCTAATTTCTTGCTTCAGTTGGCTTCAGGCACTTGTGTATTTGTCTTTTCACTGATAGTTCCTTTCTTGGGGCCCATTTGCATCAACTATGTGACATGCTTCAGCTTCACTTACCCAGACAGAGAATTTTCTTCTCTTACAGTGCTCTCTGTCTGAGTTGCTGGGCTATAGGGTTTACTTTAGATATGGATAGATAAACAACTTACTGTGGGATAAAAGGGGTATGGGCTTTGCCAGGCATCTGCTGTTCTGTGATAATTGACTAGGTTGCATGCCTATCGTAAATGGAAGCTAAACTGTGATGATAATTTATCCCTCCTTCGTTGATGGCTAAGCTTCCACGGTTCAGCTTTCATTTACCCTGCAGTAAAAACCTGCTTGTGGGTCATTGTTATAGAACAGCAAAGTCCCTTCCCCCTTTTAACGCAGAGCAACTTGTTTGTGTGTCCATACACCTTTCTTCTTGATAGCAGTCTTTGATCTGTCCCCTGTTAACTAGATCGTAGAAAAGAAAAGAAAAGAAAAGATTTTAGGCAGATGTTTCCCTTGCTCACCAGCTGTTGTACAGATCTGGAACCTTTAAAAATCTTTCCACTCTTCCACCTACAGATTTAGCCCTTCTGGCAGCATGGTCACTGTAACTGAGCGGTACAGGTCGAAAAGTGAGTCTCCCGGGAGAATGGATGAGCCAAAACAGCCCAGCTCCCAGGTATGCAGCCTGATACAGGGATTAGGATTAATTTGTTTCAATTACAAGGAAATATTAGTGTTGAAAGGTCAGGGTAATTATGTTGCAATTCTGTGTGCGCGTGCGCGCACACGTACGTGTGTGTGTGTGTGTGTGTGTGTGTGTGTGTGTGTGTGTGTGTGTGGATGTATAACTGGTAAAGAGGGCTGTATGTGTTTTGGGGCAATGTAAGATTTAGGATGAACATGACTATTTATTTCTTACTTTATACATGTTTGGATTATAAAAGTGATGTGATAGATAACTGACATTTTGGTAAAACCAGTAAAAGATTCCCAAACTAGGTGTACAGTAGTCATCCTACTGATATTAATGTGGGCTCAGGTGAGTAGATGTAGGTGAGGTGATTTAGCTAGAGCCAAAGACAAAAGCCTCTTACACATTCACACCTAAGTATGGCAGCATAGGTGCTAGGTGTTCTTGGTGTTGGTGGTGGTAGTGATGGCCCTTGGTGGGCAAGATTGACTTTCTAAGGCTGCTTAAAAAGTATTTCAGGGTTAAAATGACACAGAGACACTGGGCATTTGTCATGTGTCCAAGAGCAGCCATATCTTACCTTGTGAAAGCATGTACTCCAGGGGTTAAGGGTTTAGAACACCTTTTGCTTGCCATTGGGACTTGATCCAAAAAACATGGAAAGCATTGTGATTTCTTCTTTCTTACAATGAGAAGGACAAAAATCAGCTGAACTGTGGAGAGGCTACTATCCCTCCTAGATTAAAACACACAGATGAAGAACCAGGACTACAGCCTGGATAAGCTTTTGCAGCTACTGCTTGTACTAAAGGAAGATCTCTGGAGATGCCTTCTGTAGGATGGCGTTATGTTCTTGCTAAGCTGTAGTTAGCAATAACAGGCAAAATCGCTCTCATTCATATGTAGGACATGATTTTCAGAGGTGCTGAGATCTCAAAATTCTAGATGAAGTGAATGGGAGCTGTGAGTGCCCAGCATTTCTGAAACAAATGACAAAGGGAGTTGCTCCTCATCTCGCTGAAATAAATAATTGACAATAATTCACTGATATTAAGCGTGCTGGAGTGGGCTTGTAACTCCCATTGAACCCAGTAGGGAGCAGGACTTGGGTCCATACAGTTTATTAATAGCTTTATCACAATTTTTTATCTGCATAGAGCTAGCATTTGAGTTTTTCAAGGAGACTTGATTCTATGGAAAGTTGGAAGGGTGATGACAGGCCATTTTGGAACTTGAAAGAGGATGAAGAAACGTTAGACAAAAGTCAGAATTTCTACCCAGTAACTTTGCATTGTGTCATAACTCAAGCTTTAAATTTTCTTCTTGCTTTAAAGGCACAAAGAAGTGGTTTTTCAGAGTAAATCCAGAAATGTTTGGGTTGTGCTGAACTGACGGGGAGGAAATCGGGGAAAGCAGATGCGGTTAAAATTGTAACTGTGGAAAGGGCTAAAAATGTTTTTCCCCAATGAGGTAGCCTCAAACTGCAAGAGACTGGCTGGTATTCCACATCTTACTGCATGTGGACGTTCTGCATATTGCTGCCGTTCTGGGCTTGATGCATTGTATGCTATAAATGGAGCTCCCAAGCAACTAGAATACTTATTGACAGCACCCTGATGTGAAATACTGTGGCTTTGTTCATCTCATTTAGTCCCAAGTAGCCTTTCATTTCAGGTTTGTACAAATGCTAAGGTGCCTGGCACAAATACATTATTGCTGACACATGCTTTTGCAGAAGGGATGGTCCTTATGGGATTACACTGGCTGCCTGTCTGTGTTTGGCCCCTTCTAACTCTAGCATAACACTTTGAATGCAAGTACTGTATTCTCCAAACACACAAGCATGTATGAAGGCCTCCAGAAGACCATGTATTTGCATCAGTTGAGTCTGAATGTGGTAGCTGGCCAGAAATAGCAATGTGAATGGCTGTCTTGGCTTCCAAGCTTGTGGCTAAAGTGCCATGTTTTTTTGCTTGTTTGTTTTTTAAGCTCCCATCAAAATGGGATTGGTACTGATTTCACAAGCCATTGAGACATAATACATTATGAAGTACCTTGAGATTCCAATGTCATTTCCATGTGCTGATTTTTGCCTTTGTTTTACTAAATGTCTGTCTGTTTTCTCTTCCCCCTCCCCCAAAACAAGCACAGAAAAAAGAATAGTTTTATTAAAATAAAACTGGTCCAGGGTCTGAGATGAGTAACAAAATGTAATATATTTCATTCAAAACTCAATAGATGGCTAAGTATTCTATTGATAATAGCTGTGTTTACCTTCCCAGATGAAAATGAATAAAGTGGCATAAAAGGGGCCTATAGCAGTGCCTTCTAATGGATCAGTTACTTGTGTTTAGCTCTAAAGCCCTAGTCAAGCAAAACACTTCAAACACATGCTGAAGGTTGAGCTAACAAGTAGGCCTACTGATATCAAGGCTTGGCTTGTGCTTAAGGGCTTGACTGGATCAGAACTTAAAGGAAGAATAAAGTGTCTTCCTTTTTATGTCTCCATTGTTTTTGGCCTAGGTCGAGGAGTCAGCCATGATTGGAGTGAGCGGTTACGTCGAGTATCTCCGTGAACAGGAAGTATCTGAGCGGTGGTTCCGTTACAACCCGCGGCTGACCTGCATCTACTGTGCTAAATCCTTCAACCAGAAAGGCAGCCTGGACCGGCACATGCGCCTCCATATGGGCATCACACCTTTTGTTTGCCGCATGTGTGGTAAAAAGTATACCCGCAAGGATCAGCTGGAGTACCACATCCGCAAGCACACAGGCAACAAGCCCTTCCACTGCCATGTCTGTGGCAAGAGCTTCCCCTTCCAGGCCATCCTCAACCAGCACTTTCGCAAGAACCACCCTGGCTGCGTGCCCTTGGAGGGGCCACACAGCATCTCCCCTGAGACCACTGTCACATCACGGGGGCAGGCTGAGGAAGAGTCTCCCCCGCAGGAGGAAGCTGTTGCTGTTGGGGAGACAGCACAGGGATCTGTATCCACCACCGGGCCAGATTGAAACCAGGCGCACGTGAGGGAGAGAACCCTCTTCCCTCCCGTTCAGCTGCAAACAGTCAGCACCAATACAGCGGGCTGGTACTGTAATTAGTGCAATGCCACCACTGGACAGGAAGCAGCTGCCAAGATGTTGCCAAAATAGAAGAGTAACAAAAATAAGTGCTAAAAGCTTTTCCCCTTTTCCTCATCTCCTTGGGAAAACAAAACAAAAACCAAACTGTGTCAATCAGCTTCTGATTCAGGGATCGACAGGATTTTTTACAAATTTTTTTAATCTTCAGTAGCAATCCAGGACAGCAGTCACTTCATTTCTTGACAGCGTTTTGGCTCAGCACCTCAGTCCTTGTGGCAATGTTGACTGCAATGGCTCCAATCCAGTGAATGCAGTGCACAGGTGTCTGTCTTCGCCAGAGCTGCTGGTCCATCCTAAGGAGTTAGCAGGGGCCAAGGATCAGTCACCCCTCCCCTGTTCCCAGGTAGTCATCATGTTAAAAAGAAATGACCATCCTGGTGGAGCCTGCCCTGCCAGAGTGTATTTATCCCATCTTATTTTGGTGTGTCTCTTTTTACGTTTTTAATTGAACCGTTATTTTAGGGCTTTCTGCTTGCCCTTTCCAGGCATGTGGCATTGTGCCCACTTGCTGAATGTGGGCAGCAGCCATTAAGCAGTATTGTAGAGGTCAGCAAAATCTGAAGCGCTTAAGCTACTGAAAGTGAAATTAGCAGCTGTGAGGTTTGCATTAGACTCTACGATGTTCTTAGAGGTGGGGATATAGGGGGAGGGTGTGCTTTATTGTTGCTAATTTGCCTAGCACAGAGCACGCCAACTTCCTGACCAGTTTCTACACGCTGCAATGCTTTGAATGTTGCCAAGAGTTAGAAAGAGGCTTCCGGTCTGGAGAAAATGAGAAGTTAGAGGCTGGCTACCAAAGTCGTCTTTGGTCTCCCCTGCACTTGATCTTACATAACAGCAATATTGTATACTGAAGCAGTCAAACCCCAGTGAAGTGATCATGGGTGGTTGTTTTTAAATACGTCTCTGTGTACTCGTTTGATAAGTTTATATAATGAAATGGGGAAAAAAAACAAACAAAAAAAACCCCTACATTAATTCCTCGTGATGGTTTGGGAAATTCAAAGTTACGGTCCTCAGAGTGATCATAAGTCGGTCCCCTTGCGCAGGCACAGTATTTTATATTTCAAGTAGCGCAGAGGGTAAGAGTGAATTTACCCACCCCCAGAGAGACATGACTACATCATGGTTCATGTGTGTTTGCACAGGAGTGTGTTTATAAATAAAAGTACAACATACAGGTACATAAGTGCAAATACAAATGAGCAACTATCTTGACACCCTTTTTAGAAGTTTTTTAAAATATGCAATAGTTTATGTTTTTTCTTTGGCTCTGGTGCTGCATATGTAAGTGCAAAAAGAAATGAAATGCTGGTCATGCTGATATTGGCAGAGTGTAATTGGGAGAAGATGTGTGTTTGAAGGAATTCTCTCTCTAAAACAGTGGTTCTCAACTTTTACAGACTCAAGGCACCTCTGGGAAAATGCTAGCTCTTAGCTCTTACTTGTTTTTTGACTACAGGAAAAAAAATAGAGCAATTCATGTATTGCAAAGAACTCAGAAAGACCACAACAGAATGTTTTTAACTCTGTGGATTCTTATTTGAAATCTCTGGGTTTATCTTATGAATCATGTAGGTGTCTGCACACCTAATGGTGCTAATATAGTGCATCATCCTTAAAAGGATCTTACAACACCCCACAGTGCCATGGTTCCCTGGTTGAGAATCACCGCTCTAGAGGGTGCATAGTGTGATGGGGAAGGATGAAACTCTAAACATGAAGTTAACAGAAGGAACAAGGAAGCGGTTAAAAGCAATTTACAATTTCATTTTGCTTTTGCAGGAGAGGGTGGATAGTCTTGGGATTAGAATGCAGGGCTGCCTGATGGGAGACTGGAATCCAGTTCCTGGTTCTCTTATGTCTTATTTGTGTACCCTTGGGCAAGTCTAACCTCTCCAACTCGAATGGGAATAATAATACTTTTCTATATCTTTTGTTTGGAAATATCAGTAGAAGGGTAAAGTGTTATTATCCATGTACATTATGTGGGTTTCACTGTTCCCTGCACCTCTCCCAACTAGTGGATCCGTTTCTCTGCATGTTCATGCAAGAGAAGGGAATTGGCATGTGAACTGCCATGACAGAATGTAGTGAGTATGTTCTCTGAAAGGGGAAGCTTTGAAGATGTGCTTGGCCAATAGCCTGCCTTACAAGAATTCAGCTGATTATTTCCAATATACCGACATTTGTCAGGTTGCAGCATAATACAGTGAATGCTATTCTAAGCAGTCATTCTAAGGACCAGCAAAACTCTGGCACCTGGCAAAGGTTGAACAAAAGCATACTGGAAACATTAAGGATACTTGAAAGTGGGCACAGAAGACGACATGAGGTGGTTGATAATGTGGGTTTCTCCATAATCAAGGCAGGAGGGGAAATGGAGATGTGCAGAAGATGCTGCTTTAGTTCTAGCTTTCGCACTTACCAAAAAGACAAACTATCCTGTTCACACTAGAGAGCATCAAAAATACATTTAGTTACTTAAAAGATTTTAAGCATTTAAAAAATAGAACTTTTTAAAATACTACCAAACTATAAAGCATAAAATTATTTATATGCATATATTATATATAAATATAGTGGGAAAGTTTCCCTGCTGAGCTTGCTGTGAAGAGGAGGGTGAAGGTGCAGTAACTGCTATACAAGCAAAATTTCTCTGAAGCAGATGGCCACAAATCCATTGAGGCTAAGCAATGAAGGGTTGAGATAAAATGGCAAATGCCTCATTCGTATGGCATGGCTGTGAGTTTTTCAAACAGGTTTTTTTTTGTTTTGTTTTGTTTTGTTTTTTTACTGTTGTTGATACTGTGAACAGAGGAGCATCCTAATAATCCAGGATCACATCAGCACATCCTTGCTGCTGATTCACTCCTTTTAATTGGCTGCGTGAGAGCCATGAAATCGTTCTTTAATACTAGCCTTGGCGAGTCTAAAAAAAAATAAATGAAAAAAAGCTTGTGAAACATTTTTTTTCCTTTTGATGCAGAGGTTGCAGCTGTATACATGATCATGTTTGATTGCATGCAAAAGAGCCAATATTCTTGCCCAGGCCTCAAAGAGGTGAATATTATAATGTGTAGCTAGAGTCCAGTATAAGGAACAGGAGTGGGGATCATTAATATTCAATGTACATTTACTGAGTGTGTGTGTGTGTGTGTGTGTGCGGATCATGGTGTGTAGTGCTTTCTGCAACAGTGCTAAAAACAACCTAGTTCTGTTACAAACTTAAAAAACAGTTCAGGAGGAACTGTTTCTGGAACCGCCATTGCTAGTGCTTGACTTTTTAGTGAAGATGAGGCCAAGATGTGAAAAGAGAAATGGCTTGGACTTTGCCTATCATGTAAGAATTAATGCTCATTTTTTCAGCTGTGGGGCAGGTGATTTGAGCAGCTTTTCATGATGGGATATTAAATTCTTTGCCCTGTTTACACTGGTGCAGCCACACTAGTGTTGTTGAAAAGTGGATATGAATTTTTTCTGGTATGGGCACCTCCTGGATAGGCTATGGACTTGTCTTTGCATTTTAGTATGGAACTGCAACTTTTCACCTTTTTGCCAAACTGTGATTTCAACTGTGACTAAGGGGAGATGTGAAGAGAACTCTATCCTGTTTTAATACCTCTGAATTAATATTTCTTTGAGCTTCAGGGCTGGGGCTTAAAAAGCCACTCACCTGCTTGCCTTGGCAGGATAGGAAGCATATATCAATTTCTGCAGTGTATGTTTCCTTTTGGTGGAGGGAAGTTTCTAGTCTTTAACTGTAGCAAAAAACCCCAAACAAACAACCTTTCAAATGTGAGCTGGTGCGTTTTGTCTCCCTAGATCTGTAGAAAGTCCCAGTGGCAAGTAGCATCAGAGTGAAATTAATGCTACTATGGACACTTTCCCTGTTGCTTTTAGCATCCCTTTAAATAGTTGTGAAAATAACAAGAATCACATCAATGCTGTGCTACTGCTTTTTGGGAAAACTAAAGCTTGAGGGGAAAAAATGGTTGGGGAAGGGGAAAAGTAGAGACCCTTGCCAGCAATCTTGCAGTAAATGGATGCAGGATTGCAGGAAGGGAAAAGTATTCCAGCATTTGGAGAGAAGGTAGCGGGGGAGTCTATAGATTTATCTGTATCCATAGCCGGAGGCTGATATGGAAGAGATCCATATGTTGGCAGGCTCCAGGGATAGCAACCTGGTACAAATACAAGAAGCTGAAGTCTCCAGGCAGCCCCAATACATCTTTGTATCAGGCTCTGGCTCCTCATCAATTATGGGCCCGTGGAGTTTCCTGGTGGGCATTCCCTGCTTGCCTTTCATATCAGCCTCCAGCAATGGGTTTAGTCCTGTCTCTACTTTGGACTTTGGTAAACTTTTTAAGCCATGGCGCTATTGAATTTGGTTTGCAAAAGAGTTGTGGCAAGCTAGTAATGGTGTACAAGGTGTTTAATTTCTAGATCAGTGACTTAAATCCAGTTGGGGTTGGTAGTGACCAGCATGTGTTACCAACATGTTCAGTGTTGGAATTCCATTTGGCGCTACTTGGCAGGCTTGCTGAACGTCTGAGCAAAGAGACAGAGGGTGATATGGGCATGAAGCCAGGACTCACCACACCTTTTTATATGGTCCTTCCAGATCAGGATTGAAATAAATTGATAAGCAGGTCTTGCTTCCGATGTCTGTGCTGCACCACTTCTGTGAGGACCAATCTCACACCTCTCTTCAGTAACAAAGTCACCTAAGAGTTTGGCCCCCAATCCTGTAAATGATTTCAGGCAAGCTAGAATCCCTGTGGCTTCTTTGGAGATCCATCTGAGCAGATCCATTTGTAAGACTGGGGCTTTAGCTTTGTTCTACACCTGACCTTGTTTTACTAACCAAAACTGTTGCATGAGTGAAAAACCATTGGAAAGATTGTTTGTTTTGCGCAAATTCTCCTCAGGAAGGAGGCTGTGAATCATGCATCTTAATGAGCAGCAAAACCAGCACCTATTAATTAAACTTTATACAAGTCTGCTGTTTTGCACATGAGGATGCCTGGTAATTTTGATGTGCAATTTGAGCTTGCAAATTGTTCCCATTTCCAGTGACACAAAACACTGTTCTTGCTCCTGAATAAATATTTTGGTATGGGGAGAGGCCAATGAGGTGTTGCTTCTTGAAGTCTCTAATTTTAAACTCCAGGTTTCACATAACTCCCATAATAGAGAGAGATTTCCATCAGTTATGTCAAGGTGACTTCAGTGACTAGTGCTTTTACCACCTCTCCATACTTGTAAAATGGTAACAATACTCGCAGGGGTGAGTGCTTATTGTGAGATGTAATTTGGTTATGTTTGCAAAATGCTTTAAGA